CGGCTGGATTCCTCTGGATGGTGATGGTTACTCAGACTTTCCTTGTTTTCAGTGACATTAACAGTTGAAAAAAAAAATGTTAATCCCCAGCTGTAGGCAACTGCCCAGGTTGTATTGTACCTCAGCCAGTGTTACACTCCTGGGAGAAAAGCAGCTGATAGCCGGCAGGCATTCTGGGCCTGGCTGATGCCAAATTTGTGTTAACTATACCAGCATATCAACATAGTTACCTATTCTAAGTTTTTAAAAGATATGTGGGGGGATTGTGACCGCTGTGGGTGCCAGCCACTGCCATTGTGCCCGCCATGGGTGCATGGGTGCATGAGTGCATGGGTGCATGGGGGTCCAGAGCTGCGGGTTCCCAGGAGGCCTAGGGAAGGAATAGTGCCAGTGGGGCATGTGGAGACATGGGGGTCAAGCTGAGACAGCCAGAGTGAGCCTGGGGTTTCTCCATGTGCTTGGTCCCAGGAGGGGAGGGAAGTGTCCTAGATTAACAGGCAGCTGCAGTGTGCTGGTGGATCAGGCCTGGAGGACTTTGAATGGGCTATGAACCAGAGTGCGTGGAGGGGTGAGGTCCCAGGGCAGCACACATGCCAGCAGCTTGGGACCCTAGTGGGCAGGCAGAGCTCTGGGCCAGCACACCACCAGACTGGAAGACGGGGCTTCAGAGACTGGGTTGGGGCACAGGGACTGTAGGTAGGTGAGGGGGCCGAGACCAAATGGATTGGAGGGGGAATGGAGGAGATTTCCTGACAATAGGGGTCAGACCAGTGCACCAACCCACATAGGAGACCTGAGCTAGGCTAGTTAGCATTGACTACCGCTGACCACTGCTCACCAGTGCACACTAAAGCTAGGGCTGGGGGCATAGCTGGCATGATTAGATCACAGTACCTGACAGTGACAGTTGGTATAGGGGATGGGTGATGTTAGGTTGGGTCATGACACTAACCACCATATGAGAGAATCAGTTCTGGGGGCAGACTCTGTAGAGGATATGTGGGTCCACTCCTGTGGAACTGCAATTTCCACTGCTTTGCTGAAGAGCTGGGGGTGGTGATGGGCTGAGCTAGGCAAGACCATGGAATCCTCCAACACTCCTGGATACTGGGGTTGGGAATAGGCTGGGCTAGTCTAGGTTGCAGGGCCCACAGGCACACCCAAGTGTGGGAACTTGGTGGTCCGTAGTTTCTGCTGGTAAGCATGTGATTCAGGCCAGGCAAGGTAGCTCCACCCATGTGGGCCATGCCAGTCTGGGCTGCAGCACCCACTAGCACACATGAGACTTGGAGGGAGGGGTGCGAGCCTGATAAGGAGGCAGCATGGGCTCCCCTGCCGGGCCACTGCTCCCACTGGCGAGGGTGAAAATTGGGACTGAGGGCAGAGTAGGCCAGGCACAGGGCTACAACACCTGCTGGCCGGCATGAGAACTGGGTTGGGGGAGAGCCAGGCTGGGCTAACTGAATGTACACATTGGTGCATGCATGAACCAGAGTAAGGGCAGGCTGGGTGGGCTGTGCTGCAGCATCGGCTGGCAAGTGCTAGGACTAGGGGCAGATCTTGTCAAGCTAGACTGCAGAACCACCTGGGAAGTAGAAGATTCAGGACTGTAAATGGGCTCAGTAGGGAAACTGTGGCACCTCTCTGTTGGGCTGCAGCTCGCATTGGTGAACATGAGAACCGGGGTTGGGGAAGGGCCTGGCTAGACAGGTGGTAGTACCCGCTGGCATGAGTGTGAGCTGGATAGTGGAGTCAATTGGGCTGAGCTAGACTCATTGATGTGTACAAGAGCTGAATGGGGTGTGGGACAGACTGGGCCAGTCTGTTGTACAGGAACCAGAGCTGGGGGCAGACTTAGTGGGGTTACTTGGGGATCACTGCCATTAGGCTGCTGTTGCAGCTGATGTACATGAGTGCCAAGGGTATGGCGGACAGGGATGGTCTGGCCTGCAACACCATTGGTTTGTGTAAGAGATGGGACTGTGGACAGACCTGACTAAGCAACTACAACCACCAGTGTGTGTGTGTGTGTAGACTGCTGTGGGTGATGGACTGAGCTGGGCCATGCACTGGCTGGTACACATAGGAGTCAGGTCTGGGGTCACCTCTGGTGAGGTTTCTTGGGAGGATGCTACCAACTGGACCGCTGGACTCAGAGCTCCAACCACAGGGAGAATCATAGGATCTGTCGTCTGACTGTGGAGTGCACGGGTCAAAACTGGGTCTCCTCAGTTGTTGAAGGCTGTGCAGTGGACGGCATGCCCAGATGTACGTGGAGGACACGACAAACATTTCACTGAGGCCTGCAGATGCCTAGTACCGTGGAGGGCGGAACAAATTAGACAGCTCTCCTGGTCAAGCTTTGACAGCAAGTGTCTGGGTGAGTGAAGATTCTAAGGTGGATTATGTCAGCCGATGAATCTTGGCAGGATTTCCTCAACCTTGGAACAACAAAAGCAACCGCCTCTCAGAACTATCAGAAGCACTTAAGCAGCACCCTTGGAACATGGTCCACAGCAGGGACCTTGAATGACACTGGGTGGCCAGTACTGATGTGGTACCGGCCGTGGCTCTCTCCTCCTCTCCCCTCTTTTCAGAGGAGATTGGGTGCAGCGTCTTGTCCACTTTCCCTCATTTCTCAACCTTCCCCAGTCTAGTCAACCTCGTTGGGGAGCAGAACAGCCGCATGAAGATGTCTGGAAGTCTGCTCTGGTCTATTCAAGCATTTATTTGTATCGGCATGGACTCATGGACAGATGTACGCCATACTCGATGTGATGTTCTGGTGTTGCTGTGTTTGCTTTGTGGTGTAAGTCAGCTTTGGCCAGGTCCAGTGGACTCTAGCCAGCCTGCTTTTTTAAAAAAAAAAAAAAAGATTTATTTTTATTATTTTTTCATTGGAAAGGCGGATATACAGAGAGGAGAGACAGAGAGGAAGATCTTCCATCCGATGATTCACTCCCCAAGTGAGCGCAACGGCCGATGCTATGCCAATCCGAAGCCAGGAACCTCTTCCGGGTCTCCCACGTGGGTGCAGGGTCCCAAAGCTTTGGGCCGTCCTCGACTGCTTTCCCAGGCCACAGGCAGGGAGCTGGAAGGGAAGTGGGGCTGCCGGGATAGAACCGGCGCCCATATGGGATCCCGGGCGTGCAAGGTGAGGACCTTAACCACTTGCGCCACCGCGCCGGGCCCCAGCCTGCTTTTAATAGGGCCGCTGTGATATAGGATTGTTGGGTTGATTTATCTTTGAGCATCCCATTACTTTCTGGTGCTCCCAGCGCCTCTAAGCTCCTCTTGTGTCTCATGGTTTAATGTGACTTGGCCATTTCCCCGAGTAGTTTAGGTCCTTTGGTAAGAAGTCAGGATGTGGGCTCCAGGTGTGTTCTGCACATTTTTTTTAATTTTTAAGACTTATTAATTAATTTGTTTTTGAAAGGCAGATCTACACACACACACACACACACACACACACACACACACACATCTTCCATCCATCACTCCCCTTGTGATCACAACGACCAGAATTGAACTAATTTGATGCCAACAGTCTCTTCTAGGTCTGCCATGTGGATGCAGGGTCCCAAGGCTTTGGGCCATTCTCTGCTGCTTTTCCAGGCCATAAGCAGGGAGCTGGATGGGAAATGGAGCAGCGAGGACATGAACCGGTGCCCTTATGGGATCCTGGAGCTTAAAGGGGAAGGATTAGTCTATTGAGCCATCGTGCTGATCCCTGCACATTTGTTTTTAACCGTTGGAACAACCCTGTGTTAACTGGGATTCTTTTTTGTTTCCATTTTCCAGTAAGGCTGAAGTAGCAGGTGCAGTTTAGTTGCTAAGAGTTCAAGTTTAGTGGCTAAGGCTCAAGAGGCAGGTTCCTGGGCGTCATCAGTCCCCACACAGCTCTATAGGACATGTGTCACGGTTTCCCCAGGCTTGAGATGCAAATCACAGCATTACTTAGCTTGCCGAGTTGCCCTGAGGGTTAACTGTTCCGTGGTGCCTGACCCCACATCTGTGCTCACTCGTGATGGTGTTAGGTTTGGGGACGGGGAGATACAGCTGCCCTGGATGTGTCTGGTTTCAGAATCCCTGTGGATATACCAACATCTGAGGGTGCTCCACTGTACAGGGATAGCGTAGCATTTTCACGGAGCCTGTGCAGTTCTCCTCCGTACAGATTCCCCTCTGGATGCCTCAGGGAGCTGCCTACCGTGTAAGCGCTGCTGTGTAAGTGGCGTCTGTACCATCCTCCGGGACTGTTGGGAAGGACAAAAGTCCGTGTGCGTTTAGTTGCAGGCACAATTGTTGCCTAATATTTCCCGCCATTGGTTGAATCAGCAGACACAGAACCTGTGGGTGTCGAGGGCCACTCAACTCGTGGTATGTGACTTGCCTAAGACAGTGGTCCAGTGCCTTTTGCCGCCAGGACACCCGTTACACCTTGATTTCTGTCCTAATGTCCCAGTGCGTGATCAACACCTGCCATGTGCGTGGGCTTCCTGTGGCAGGCACACCAAGGGGGAACCAGATAAGTGTTGAAATCATCAATGGCATTAGCAAAAGGTTTAATTGCACGCCTGGGATCCCATATGGGCGCCGGTTCTATCCCGGCGGTCCAGCTTCCCATCCAGTTCCCTGCCTGTGGCCTGGGAAAGCAGTTGAGGATGGCCCAAAGCTTTGGGACCCTGCACCCGCGTGGGAGACCCGGAAGAGGCTCCTGGCTTCGGATTGGCATAGCATCGGCCATTGCACTCACTTGGGGAGTGAATCATCGGACGGAAGATCTTCCTCTCTGTCTCTCCTCTCTGTATATCCGCCTTTCCAATAAAAAATAAATCTTAAAAAAAAAAAAACTATCTGAAGATGAGAATGCTGAATAATTTCATGTTTAAAATAATTTATTTTGGAGTGTTGCATAATGAAAGAGTTCTGGGGTACAAATGCAAACGCTGCTATTGGTTAAGTTCATGTGACTCCTTTCTTTGCTTTCTTACCCTCAGTGGGCTCATTGGGCGAAGCTGGGCCATGCTGTTTGCCAGCGGAGGCTTCAAGGTCAAGCTCTATGACATTGAGCAGCAGCAGATAACCAACGCCCTGGAAAACATCAGGTGAGCAGGCAGCACCCTCTGCGAGGAGCTGAAGGGGCCCCCGGGTGTCTGGGTGGTCCCCGAGGCTGGCTGGGCGTGTCTGCGGTTTTACTGTTTAATTTGGGGACTGTTGCAGTGTCTGAGCTTAGAAGTGGCGAAGGGGAAAGTGCTAGAAGGGCACAGAGAAACCCGATGTGCAGCGTGGGCTCCCAGCCTCGCCGTGCGTGGGCCTCTCCCCTCTGCTGCACCCGGAAGGGCTGTGACTTCCCGCCATTTCCCTGGGGGAGGTTGAGTCTGCATCTGGCAGGTGCTGACCGGAGACGCCTGGCCACCCACTAACGTTCTGCGAGCAGAGTTTCTTGGTCTTGTCTGGGCCGGTGGATCTGATGATCCCAGGAGCGCACGCGTCTGGACGATCATCAGAGGTTTAGCATTGACGCAGAAACGGAGGTGCCTCGCTGGGTGCTGCTGTCACAGAGCTGGCAGAATGGAGGAGCTGACGGAATGTTGAGTGTGGACGCTGAGTGGCTAGGAGGACAAGAAGCAAAGAATTTGATGACTGTATTTCCTGCTTTTTGAAAAGATTGACCGCACAGGGTCTGTCAGGCTACAGATGTGAAGAAATTATAGGAGGGTCCTTGAGAACGTTCAGGACAGATGCGGTGTCGCAGTGTGGTGGGGTTCAGCCAGCCGCGCCTGCATCCTCTCTTACACATAGTACCTGCTGTGAGTTCTGGCTGTTCCATGTTTTGTTTCTTTTCCCATGAGAGTTTATTTCCATTTGAAAGGCAGGTGTACAGAGAGAAGAAGCAGCAGGGAAGGCTAAGCATGTAAGTCTTTGTGCCCCTGCACCCACCTGGGAGAGCTGGAAGAAGCGCCAGGCTCCTGGCTTCAGACTGTCTTAGCTCTAAATGTTGCGGCATTTGGGGAGTGAGCCAGCAGACAGAAGATCTCTCTCTCTCTCTTTCTGTGTGTAATTCTGCTTTTCCAATAAAAATAAATACATCTCTCTTTTTTAAAAAAAAATTATTGATTTATTTTTATTGAAAAGTCAGATATACAGAGAGAAGAGACAGAGAGGAAGATCTTCCGTCCGTTGGTTGGTTCACTCCCCAAGTGGCTGCAACAGCTGGAGCTGAGGCAGTCTGAAGCCAGGAGCCAGAAGCTTCTTCTGAGTCTCCCATGTGGGTGCAGGGTCCCAAGGCTTTGGACTGTCCTCGACTGCTTTCCAGGCCACAAGCAGGGAGCTGGATGTGAAGTGGAACCTCTGGGATTAGAACCAGTCCCCATATGGGATTCTGGTGCGTTCAAGGCAATGATTTTGGCCGCTAGGCTACTGCAACAGGCCCTTTTGAGCACTTTTAAAATCCATTCATGGAAGGGATATGAATACGTAAAAATGGCTGTTTCTTTCCTTTTCAAATCTAGTTGAAAACTTTCATATTAGAATACTACTTTGTTTAATTAAGAGCAAGTGTGCTAATGTCACTGGTAACCAATTAGATCAAACTTTTAGTCTGTAGTTTTTTTTTTTTTTTTTTTTAAGATTGTTTTTACTTGAAAAAGTTACAGAGAGGAACTGGCACAATGGCTCCACTGGCTAATCCTCCACCTCCAAGTGTTGTATCCCATATGGATACCAGTTCATGTTCTGGCTGCTTTACTTCCCATCCAGCTCCCTGCTTGGGGGCTGGGAAAGCAGTGGAAGATGGACCAAGACGTTGGGCTCCTCACCCACATGTAAGACCAGAAGAAGCTCCTGGCTCCTGGCTTCGGGTTGGCTCAGCTCTGGCCATTGTGGTCATTTGGGGAGTGAACCAGTGGATGGAAACTCTCTCTCTAAGACTCCTTCTCTCTCCGTAACTCTTCCTTTAAAAAATTTTTTTAAAAAAGTTAATGGTAAATGCATATTATGAAAATCCTATGCATGAATTTCAGATTGATTTTGCATTAAACGAAATGTATCTGTGAGAATTCCATTTTTTCCATGAACTTGAAAAATTCATTTATTTGAAAGCTAGCAAGACAAAGAACAACCTTTTATCACTGATAAACCTTTTATTACTGATTCAGTTCTGGTTGTAACAGCTGAGACTGGGCTAGGTGACAGCAGGTTCCCAGAATGAATCGGAGTTTCCCAGGGTGGCGGGGGGGGGGGGGGCGGGGGGGGGGCAGAATTAAACACTTGAGCCAATCGATTGCCTCCTAGGGCGAACGTTAGCAGGAAGTGGAATAAATAGCAGAGCTGAGGCTGGAGCCAGGCGCCCTAACGTGACGTGCAGGTGTTTAAAGCACCGTCTTCACTGCTGTGTCACAACCCTACCCTTCGAGAATGTTTTAAATCTGCTTGCACATTTAAACTAGATTAACCGAAACATGCAGGACTGGTTATGCTACTTTGGCAACAAGCAAGGATCTTGGGGGGGTATCAGATGACTAGCTTCCGCTTTCTTCTCAAATGATTGGTGGCACCCAACTTCAGGCAAATACAGTTGAGTTGTGTCGTGTTGCCCAGCCACACTGGGGGAGGGTGTTGGATTCTGGGTCTTGAATGAGCTGGGGTTAAAGCGCCCAGCTTCCCGTTCTGAAATCCAATCTCCTGCAGTACCATTCCCATGCAGAGAATTCCAGTTAGGGGGTTGGGACCAAATCTTACTGTTGCAAATATTCGCATCAGCGTGATGACTTTTTTTTTAAAAAAAATATTTGTTTTATTTATTTGAAAGCAAAGTCAGAGAGAAAAAGAAAAAGACCTTCCATCTGCTGGTTTACTCCCCAAATGGTTGCAATGGCTACAGCTGGGTCACTCTGAAGCTGGGTCTCCCACATGGGTGCAGAGGCCCAAGCACTTGAGCCATCCTCTGCTTCCTTCTCAGGTCATAAGCAGGGAGCTGGATGGAAGTGGGGCAGCCAGGACATGAACCGGTGCCCATATGGGCTGCTGGCACCGCAGGCAGCAGCTTAACCCACACACCACAGCATCAGTGTGAGATTTGCTTCCTGGAGCTTTGTGGTGCTGCTTTGGTCAGTGAGCAGAAGTTGTCAGCCAGCAGTTCAACCATGACGGAAGCTGCCGTGTAGCTGTGTGGTTGTATTTCGCTTGTGCTCCTCAGGTTGCCAGAAAGCCAAGGCTCAATGTCCCTGACTACATGTTAGGCAAAGGGACTGTCAGGAGACACACCTTTCTGTTGAAATGTAGACCCCACCTACCTACGGGGGATATGGCCCAAGATCTCCAGTGGATGCGTGAAAATACAGACAGCCCCCCAATTCTGTGTTTGATGATGCTTCAGAGAGTTCACAGGAAATGGACCTGAAAGATGTTTGGTTTTGGTGCAAGAAAACAGTGAAACCCGGGTCTGACGTGGTGTATCGGGCCAAGCCACTATCTGTGATGCCAGCATCCCAGGTGGGTGTTGGTTAGAGTCCAGGCTGCTCCACTTCTGATCTGGCTCCCTGCTAATGCGCCTTGGAAAGCAATGGAAAATGTCCCATGCCCTTGGGTCCCTGAAGAAGCTCCTGTCTCCTGGTCCAGCCCAGCCCTGCCAATGCTGCCATCTGGGTAGGGAGCCAGTGGCCAGTGCCCCTGCTCGCTCTCTCCGTAATTGTAACTTTCAAGTAAATATTAGATTCAAAAAAATCTTGCATACTGTTTTTCGTGTGTAGGTTGCACTCAATGACAGATGAGCCACAATCATTAATAAACCATGATAACAATGTCCTGTAATAAAATGGGAAGAGAGTCAAGGTGAGTGTTAGTATTTGTGAGCCACGGTGGACTGCATGGAACTGAAACCGCAGCCGCGACTGGAGGATGGTCCCTGATCGGGTCTGGGGGCCCGACAGAGCAGCACAGGAACTGGTGCCCCACAGGTGTCTCTCCTGTCAGCCTGTGGGCTCTGGGAGCCAGAGCCCCGTCCTTGCCCTCTCAGGCTGCATCCCTGTCCGGTGTCCACCATGGATGCAGAAATGACCAGCACGTCTCTTTGTCCCCTCAGCCGAACTGGACAAGAACTTTGAGTCACAGGAGCCTTTCTAGAGTCGCAAAAGCTACGAAGGTGTTCTTTATGTGAGTGAGAGGCGTGGGGTCCCCCATCCCCATGTGCACGCCCCTGATGCTTGGGAATGGGACAATGGGACACGGGGACCCAAGTGCTCACTGCTGCCGCCAGGAGCCGGCACGGGGTACTGCGGCTCAGCTCTCGCTGTGGGTGTCCGGGCCGCTGGCCCATCCCATACCCTTTATTTCCTGCCGTCTGTCCCACCGTTCGGATTGCCTCACATCCTCTACTCTGATTCTAGTTGATGTTATAGGGCAGCAAATAGCACGTGGTTGAAATTTTCACTGCTTCTCGTGGACAATTCCATGTGTGTTAGACCTGCTCAACATAAATCTTCTTAAATGGGAACAGTGGTCCAACTTGCTTGGGGATTTGTGAAAATGGAACTTAAACTGGATACAGTTGGTCTTTTTAAAGATGAAGACATGACAAAAGACATTACTAATCAGCAGCTGCACCATACCAAGGAGTCAGGGAATTGAAAGCAAACAAAACAAAACTGAAAGCCTGTCTTCTAGGATCAGCGTTGTCTTTGGCACAAGAAACTTGACACTCGTGTGTTAGCGTTTACACTGGAGAGGTAGCTTGCCTTGGGACGTGGTGGTAACAGGTGTGCCGCCCCATTGTCTTGTTCTCCATTCTGTACGTCATGCTTAGCCCATGTTAAGTCTCATGAGGGGCTGGCGTGGTGGCATAACAGGCTAGTGCTCTGTGTGTAGTGCCGACATCCCATAAGGATGCCAGTTCAAATCCTGGCTTCACATCCAGTTCCCTGCTTATGGCCAGGGAAGGCAGTGGAGGACGGCTCAAATCCTTGGGACCCTGCACCCGTGTGGGAGACCCAGGAGAAGCCCCTGACTTCGGATTGACTCAACTCTGGCTGTTGTGGCCATTTGGGGCGGGGGGGTGTGGTGTGTGGATAACCAGGAGATGAAAGATCTCTCTTCTCTCTCACTCTGT